CCCATTAATGAAAAAATTATATAAAGCTGGAGGTTCTTGTATAAGAACAGGGTGACACCAAATGTGATGTTCTGAAGAAAAAGTAACATATATGCAAGAGGCAAACAAAAAATGAAAACGATCAGACCATGAAAATATAAACTTGACAAAGTACTAAAATTTGATTTCCTCAAGAACTTTGATGCGTAAGTTTCAGCCAGCATTGAAACTCTGGAACTTGCTTTTGAAATGTTACTAGGTACGGATGACATGAACATAGATGAGATTCTTCTGTAAGACCAATTTCTATGACAAGTAGCAGATGCTTTAAATATCAAAACTGAGCAATGGCAATATAACTGGACATGACAGCTGAAAAGAATTAAATATAGAAAAACTTCAATTGGGTAAAGATACAAGAAAAATGGGAGTTACATACTTCAACACGAAAATGCCCTTATCAGTTACTCGCATCCCTTCAACACCACTGATTCCAACCCCAATATCAGCTTCTTGAAGCATTCCCATGTCATTAGCACCATCACCAATTGCTATAGTTCCTGGTCCAAATGAAAATTAATCTTGTGACCTAAATGTTCAGTTTCACCATGTATAAAAAATTAGTACGTACCAAAGGAAAAGTATACTAGCAGAACATTTGATAACGAAACAACTGGAAGTACACAGTCAAAAATAACTGAAAGACTGTAGATCCACCAATACCTTTTTGTAGTGATGAATGGCAGCAAATAACAGATGCACAGCCAATTGCAGTGGTCATGCCACACCAACAAGCTTTCATGTCCAATTCTTGGGACTAGTAAAAATCCTTAGGACAAGGTGACATGGGTATCACTCTAGCAACTGTAGTACCAGGCTAATTGTCGGCCAATTATCTGGTTTTGCATCAGTGCACCCTTCCATGAATTTAAGAACTACTTCGACTGTTTGTGCATCTGAAATGATATATCTTTTGTCCAAAATGGCTTTTGGTCAATTCTTTCTAGTAAAGTGTTCATCCAACTTACCACACTTCATAAATGTTAAGTCAATACTTCCCTTTCCAATTACAAGCTCAAGAAGGAGAACTACAGAGCTATATGCATTCCAATTACTCAGTGGCTGCCCCACTTTGTCAACAGTCCGGAGCCAGATAGCCTAAATGCCAATGGTCATAGTTGTAAGATGTGAATTCTCATCAACCAGCAGCTTTGCAAGACTAAAATCAGACACGAAGCTGGCAGGGTTATCATCAAGGAGAAAGTTATGGATTTCTCAGAGAACTATTTTTCAGTATAAGATAGTC